ATATATATATAATATATATTTATATTTATGTTTATATATTTATATATATTATATATATTATATTATATATATATTTATATTATATATTTTATATATATATATATATAATATACATATACATATATGAACACACACTACACAAGGATACGATACAGGAACGACCTATTAAAGTGATCTGAAGAATGGCTAGAACCAGTACCTGTCACAAGACATGCATGTTCGAGAAGCACTGAAACTATTCAACATCATACTCGCACTCATGCACAAACACACACACACGCACACACAGATACACACATATTCTTCAACATTCCAAGCCAGTATGCAGTGAATAAACACTCCCCGAGCAATTCTATACATTGCCTAAACATCGAATTCTTAACTGATAGCGCCAACAATAACCTCAGCTCGCAGCTCGCACATACACACAAGCATTTGTACACTAAAATGTACCCATATTTGTGTGTGCTCTGTGTTTGCATGTCCCTGCATATAAATTTTGGTATTTTAAAAAATTTATTGTGAAGAAAGGTCAGAAGAGTGAATATATTGAGATGAATAAAAGAGCAAATTATTTTCATGTAATTACCACGTACTAATAGCAATTAGACATAACAGTTATATTGCGGAAAAGTAAGTAATAATTGTTGCACTTAAAATTAATGCAGTAATTGGAACCAAGTTTTAAAAATAGCAAAATATTAGAAAGAAATTAGATCATTATTTTTCTAAGTCATTTTTGATTTATCTACTAGTTACTAAATACAAAGTTAGGGTGAAATGATTAATAAGGCAATCAGAGTGAACTCTAACTACAATTAGTTGCTCAAGCATTGCAAGTGCTTAGTAATTTTTTTCAAAGTGGATTTGAGCAATAGCTTAAGAACATTATTACTCTCTTCCATATTTTCATATAATCTACTGGCTTAGCGGTTGCTTCCATTCTACACTTCAAAATGTCCTCTACTGGGAAGAGTTTACATTTCATCCAATTTAGGGCTAAATTTTTTAACGGTTATAGCATGAAATTTTGTTTGCTTAGTATTGTATTGAAACAAGTTAGAGGTTGTTGTTTGGAATATATGGTACAAAAAATTTCAAACGAAGACAATTTGTCTTTTTATAATGCTATAATTTTAGTCAATTTAAGTTAAGCGTATTTTGCCCAGTGTTTATGCATTATTTTTATATATCTTGAATTCCAAGCTAACAGACTCTAAAATTGATAATGAGGTAGAATTAGTTCAACAATACTGGTTTCCGCAATATCATGCAACAAGTTTTCACGAAGGTATTTTAAAATACTCGTAATTAGAGTTATAGATTGAAACTGACGTAGATGCATCTGACACACATATGTAACTTGAGTAGCACTAACAATAATTTTCCACTTTACGGTTTCAGCTTAGATAAAATCGATTTATGTAAAATCGTCTACGGAAATAAACTTACACCTTCATCATTTGTAACTATGTCTGCCAAGCATTTTATGATCATTCCAACAGCTTTTAATAGAAATGATAATGATAATAACAATAGCAATAATAATAAACAATTATAATAATGACAATCGTAATAACTGTGTAAGACATGTGACACTTAAACCCTGTCTGTCTTGACACTGCTGTATACGATACCCTTCATAACTTTATGATTCATCTGAACTATTAAATTTATCTTCAAGTTTCCATTTTTATAGCAGGTAGGCTGAAATTTCTTAGCAAACTTTAGTGTTTATTTTCGCAATTTTGCAATTAACTTATTATCATTGCTCTAATGTAATTATTACTACTATCACCATTATCATTATTACATTTCAACTTCACTCGTATGAATGCTTTAAAAAATATTTATGGATTATCACTGTAATATAAATAATGTTGCGATAATATCAATAAACGTGGAGTAAAAATAAAAAATAAGAAGAAGAATCAATAATAGACTTATTTGTAATGATAGTTTAAAAATTTTGCATGAAAGAAAAATGTTTAAGACATATTTTTTATTCCAAAAAATTCTCAAAGAGTATTGATGATAATGTTTGATTCAGTTTTTTGCTGCCTTTTATTTCACTTTCAATACTTAATGTTCACTTGAAATTTCGTTTATTCAAAAAATGAGCAAAGATTGGTGAAGTTAACACACGCCGAAGTTAGTGTAACGAACAAAATTTTTCATCGTTCTCGACATCATCTCCAGACGCCTTATTAGTGTACATTTTCACGATATGAATTTCTGCGTTTATTTAGTTATCGTTTGCTGTACTTTTCTGTATTTCTCTCTTATCCAAATTTTCTATTTTTGTAAAGAACGGTATGTGATGAAGAATCAAGTATTTTATTACTTCCATGAAAGAAAATGAATAAAGTTATAGATATTTATTACTTTCATAATTCTTTAGTCTAAAATTCAACAAACATATGTAATAAATAGCTGTTTAATAATTAAATTATTTTTTCGTAGACTATAAATGAATGAAATTGCGAATGCGCTTATTTGATCAATCACTTCAATTATTATCATGTATAGCAAAATCATTAATAGTTTATATATTTTTCTATGACAATCAATAATTATTATAAGTACCGAGGTTTAAGAAAATGTGCAAAATGCAAAAAAGGTGCCATAAATTTTTGCTAAAATTTCAATAGAAACTACTCTTTTATCTCTATCAGTTATAGATATTTTGTTCTGAATCACAAGTAATACTTCATGATTTTTCCTTGCTGATATTTCCCATTAAAAAAAACATGAAACCGAGACTCTTATGTTATTCAAACTATGAGAAAATTTCAAAAAATCACTGATATGCCGATAAAATGTAATCTAAGAAGTTTGGAATATACCTATCTTTAGCAAAGACTGCGAGTTCTCTTAATATTTTTCAAACTTTTGATACTTACGATTTTGGCATATAAAAATTATTGGCTCTGCAGTCGCAGAATTAATTAAATATATTAAATTTTGATAATTAAAAAAAATCTTTTTACAGAAAATAACTGTAACTTTATCAAAAAACAGAAAAAATGACATCACAAGTTTATCTTAAAATATATAACAATTACAGTAATTAGTAACTACTACTTCTGTACAGCTATAATAAAATTAATGCACGAATAAATATTTCAAAGCATTGTGATGAAGTGTAAAGTCCGTTAACAAACGTAACGTACAACTTCTTACGTCGCTAGCTTAGCAAGCAGCTGCGCTCCATACTATGAACTTGTCTGTCTGATTAACTACCTTTAACCTAACATATTTTCAGTACATAACTTACAACCGAATATTACTGTTACATCAAACATTCTGATATGCTATTTGCTGATTTAAAGAAAGTGAATATACATTTGTAAAACACCAAATCCCCAAACAAAACATTACAAGAATAAAAATGAAGCTAAAAAGTCTGATATAGAAAGTTTATCCTTAATTCAAGGGCAATATTTGAAAGTTCACTCCTCAGTACTAATAATCTGATTATGAACAACATATCATAAAACAAACTGATTCATCTTTTGAATTCCAAATTTTACCAGGAACATATTTTCACCTCAGCAACATCGAACAAAATTTTCAGTTTATTAAGAAATTATTAACTTTTGATTTGTAGTGATTTTCAGTCAGAAATATTGCAAATGACACAAAGTTCAAAAGCATCTACACATATGAATACAATTACATTCTGAATAAAGATATTGAAAAGAGAATCGTGAAATTCGCACCAAAATTTTAAAACACACTAGTACTACGAGTAATGTCAGAATCAAAGCTTCAAAAACAGCTTGATTCTGTACAAGATAAACTAATCATTGCTATTTAATCAAATGGCGGTAGTCCTAACAATTCAGGTTGAAATTCAAGCAAACTTTTTAGAACCATCGAAATTTTCCCTTTGCACTCTACAGGTGGTTTCGAGTAGCGTAAATCAGGCACCATGACTACTTGCATACCTGCAGCAATAGCTGCAAGAACACCATTTACAGAATCCTCGAACACGACAACATTAGCAGCACTAGCTGGCTTCTGAGGAAATCGTTGCATTGTAACGAGGAATGAATCTGGAGCAGGCTTGCCCCGCATTACTGCTGGATCATCTGCTAAAACCTGCAAAATTTGTTGACTTCACAATAAAAGTTAGCAGTACTTATTTAACTGTTTTATTAAGCAACTATTCAGATTGCAAAGAATATCAACTACGGTTTTAAAAAAAGAAAGCAATTTCAAATAAATTAACAACAGATAGATTAGAAATACTTTGCAGTAAAAAATTCTCATTTCTTTAATATCAGTGCATACTTTCTGATCTGATCTAATAGAATTATTTATTTTTTCTTAATCTGACAGAAAATATAAAAACTTATTTTGAAGGGAAATTTTACTAACTCGAAGACTTATTAGCTTTGATAATTCTGAATGATTTTGCATTTTAACTTTGAATTCAGCAGTATTAGAACCAGTACAAAGAGCCATTGGTATGAAGTGCTTAGCGAAATGCTTTACTAAGCGCATTGCACCAGGCATCAACTTTGAATCTGGGAGATATTTGTCCGACAGTTCCAAATATTTTTTCCTGTATTGCTCTAATGTTACTCTTCCTGTTAAATTTTCCTAAAAAAAAATGCTCGTTTATCACTTTAAATTCTCTTAGTGAAATTCATTTAAGTTTACGAATATTAGTAGACATAACTTTATCAATTATGTTAGCTAATCACAAAAGTAATTATCATATTATCAATTTATCGCCTATATTAACATTGTATCAACTACAGTTAAATAAAATGAATGCAATTTGACTGAAATAGCCATAATTATCAATTCCAAAGTAATATTCCAAACAAAAAAAGCTAAAAGTTCTAATTGCTATAAAATCGTAGCTTTCATCTGCAAGTAAAATATTTTCAAAATCGATAGAACAAACAAACTTAAGTTGATATGCTGTTAACAAAACATACCTGTTCTAACATCAGTTTAATTCCATCATCCATTTTCATTCCAGCCATTTTAGCCTTCAATCCCATTGTATACCTTTTACCATAGCTTAGCATGATTTCCTCATTGACTCGAGTATAAATACTTTCAGAATCTAGTAGTAATCCATCCAAATCAAATATCACATGAGTAACTTTGATCTTAGTTGCAGTTCTCATTTGGTCGAAAACTGTTATGTCAGTAAACTGCAAAATAGCAAAAACAACTTCGCGAAATACTTTACAGAAATAAGCAATCTTATTTGCTTTTCCGTAAAGAATTGGTTGCTTACAAAAACTGATTAAATAAGCTTTATCAAAGTAATAGCTTTTTTTTAAATATAACAGATATTTTAGAGAAAGCAGGCATGTCAAAATTAAAAAATTTAATTTTATTATTTCAAAATATTTTAAGTAATTCTATCGTTTTTAAAATACAAGTCTTACAGAATTTCTGTATTTCTGTGGCCTTTTTCAAAACTTTTAAAACTTGTTTTTTAATCTATAAATAATACAAAAACATACTATATGCTATTTTGTACATTTTTAAAGATGAAGAAGACACATCCCATGTGCGAGACTAACTTTGAACGCATTTGTCTGATTTTCACTTACCATAAAATAATAAGCAGTACTACAACATTCGCTTTTCAAAATGAATACTGCAAAAAAATGAATAAAATATTGATATAAAATTTAGATAAAACTGGTAATTTATGCAAAAATAAATAATACAAAGATGAATATTTAAATAAACAGAAATCAAGTGTACACTTTCATAAAATTAGCACAGCAATGAAACATTAACATGACTGTAATCTTACAAAAATTTACTTTTATTTGTTTGACGTAATTTTAAATCGGCAGTTGGTTTGGTTTTTCAGTCATTTGTTTCAGGCCAAATAAATATATTTGAATTCAATTATTGCATATATATGTATCTGATTTCAATTATTCCAGAAATTGCAAGCATCAATTATTTATTTTGAAGAGATTAATTAATCACTCTGTTGTGCGCAGTCATTTCAAGCAGAAAACAAAATTCATTGCATAGAGTAACATTCTGTAATACACACAAAAAAGATGGATGGATTGTTTTATTCACAGAAAATAAAGCGAATAGTGAAAGAAGGATAGATTCCAGTAAAAAATTTGTGCAGCGACTTAATATCTAACATTTTGAATCTGATCTCACAAAAATACTTTCACACATAACTTCTTTAGTCAGAATGAGTAGTAATTGAGGAAGAGAGGGAAAAGAAGAAGAGGAAGGGAAGAGAATGAAGGGATGAAAAGAGAAGGAGTGGAGAGAAAAAATTTGTAGCGTATGAGAATGAGCTGCGTGGCTGAAGGGTAAAGAGTAGACTTGCAGGAAATGAAGTAACGGAATGAGTGATGTATTAAAACGCTTGCAAATATAAACAAACGTGTGTGTTTAATAGTATTAGTTGTTGAAACTAATGTAAGGATGATTACTTAGAGGGGAGAGAATTACTTCAGTATGATATGAAAGAACAAGAAAGGCGTGTGCTAGCTATAAGACGGATATTCGAAATGCAAACATTTCAGCGTAACTGTCAAAGAATACGGCAGTTTATTAAAGAATTCGTTTAACATGCATGAGGTAAGTCTAATCAATTATTGCGACCACAGGTTATGACCAGTAAGGTCATTACTTAGTAATTTCTGTGAGTATCAGAATGCACTCAACTTGTATTTTTTTTAGCAGTAAGAACTATTTTTTCAAATGCTATCAAAATTTTGCAGTTGTTCGAGTCTTCATGCTTTGCATTGAAGGTTATAGTGAGCAATTTTTATAGTATTTGGATTTTTCCAAATAATTTCAACTAAATTACAAAGTTCTACACGAGAATTTTGTATTAACAGAGGGATTGAACAATCAAAAAGAGATCCAAAGCC